CTGAAGGCTCCCCAATCAGGAAATGATCCCTTATAAGTAAAGCAGCCGTGTTGGACAGGAAAATTGCAAATAACCTAATTTCCAGTTTTAATTCTAGAAAAATTTAGATTGTGAAAAAATTACTCACAGAATTGGAATTTGGCTGAGGTTCAGTTTAGCAATGAAATACAGCTCTGCTTCTAAACTACTTTTCAATCTACAGTGCCCAGAAATGGTCACGGTCTCAGTTCTAAATCCCAATGAATATAGCACCTTAGCACCCCCTCGCACCATACTGGCTCATTGACTTAGTGCCACCAATTGAAACCCAGTTTCTGCCATTTTGACAGAGCTGGGGTTTTCCTTGAAGGTCTCCCATCCCAGAGTTGACCTGGTCTGACCTGACTTAGTTTATAAAATCTCAGAAAATTCACTAATCAATGCGAGGTAGCTGGATCCCAAAGCAGGCATCTTGTGAAATAAAGTTTCTCCAATCTGCAGATGGCTGAGGTGCACATCTCATTAGCGGAAAGGGAAGATGTGAATATTCTTTTATTTATTTGTATTTTCAACTTCCACAATAGCAAACAGTAGAGGAATGGCAATTACCAAACTATGGCTGTCACAATGTACGTTACACATCCACAGACATTAAAATAGCTCATTCATGAATGAAACATAAATTGCACAGCCTGGCAAATACAGAATTTGAGCCTTCCCACTGCAGGAGCAGAGCACGGTAGCAAGAGAGCAAAGCTACCTTTTAAGTGTCCTCATTTCAAACCCTTCTAAACACTCCTTTGCTGGGGTGACAATGGGCAGGGTGCTAATATGCTGAGATTCCTACATATATTGTTGCACCATTTCCTTCTCATCTCTTTACCTTTGCCTACCTGTTGTCTATTGTCCATCCTGAGACTGGAAGTCACATGGAATCAGGAACAACTTTTGGTTCTGTGTATGTGCCATACCTAGCGTAAAGGGATCCACAAGCGAGGTTACGAGGCACTCTTTCAATATAAACGGTATTGGAAGTAGAATCGCAGTGTCTAGAGGCAGTAAAATCAGGGTCCCATTGTGCTACTCTCCAAACAGAGAGCTGGAAGGGTCCTTGAGAGATCATCCAATGCATCGCTCTACCCCAAGGCAGGACAAACTGTCTAAGACATGCCTGACAGATGTATGTCTAACCTGTTCTGAAACTGCCAATAAAGAGATTTCCCAGCCAGGGTTCAACTATCCTTCAGTAGAAAGTTTTTCCTTATATCTGACCTCAGTCCTTTATACAGAGAGCTAGCCCTTCCCTCTGAGCCATCACTGCCTATGCAGAATTGAAGTGATTTGACCAATATCTTGCAGCAAATCAGTGGCAGAGCTAGGAATAAGGCTCAAGTCTTCTTATTCCCAGACCAGTTTCCTAACCACTGGACCATAAATACCCCTCACTCCGGTACTCATCACAGTGACAGATGGCTGAACCTGGCCCCGTATTCCCTCTTGGCTATGATCACCCTACCGCATTTTTCTGCCCAAAGCTGTGGGTAATTTACTATTGTGTACCTTTCAAATGCCAACAGTACAAATCTAAGCTATATATTAAGAATATGGTGAAGATCCTAACCTGTATGTTACAGCAACATCATATATCAAAAGATTTTATTATTGCCCTGGAGTTGACATCCATGTCTATGCTTTGAAGGGAGAAAATCTTAGAAGCATTCATTTAAAAGCATTTTTTTTTTTTTGTTGGGAGGTTCTTTGTGAGAAGCAGCAGTGCAGTTCTGGCCATCTATTTTTTAATCCCCTCTTCAAGCAGTGTCCCCTTTAAGTGAGCCTCTACTGTTTCCAGGTAAGGAGTGGTACGACAGTGCAGCGAGCTCCTTATGTATTCACTGCATGCCTGACTGCAGAACCAATTGTAAGTCGTTGCCTCTCTCTCTCTCTTTTTTTTCCTGTTAAATAGAGGTTTACCACAAACTGTGAAAATGGATGCTTCTTATTTCGATTGAAAAGGGTAAAGCAAACACGACCTTTTCCTCAATGCATGCAGTCTTACCTCCGCTGTCTGAAATCATGCTAAACACTCTGAAATGTGTGGAATGTCTCATGCCTGCAGTGAGCTTGATTTGAGTCAGGTCTGTGCATGTAACTAAAATTGGTGTTTTTTGCAAAATCTCCCCCCCAACCTTAGAAACCTCAATTAGCATGAAGTAGACCAAAGGATGGGGGCTTTGTTTGCTTATAACCGAAACAATTTGGGAATGCATGAAATGGTAAGAAAATAGAGAGAACCGGGCGGCATGATTTAAAAGATGCTAAGCTCCGATGACACCATAGCAATGTCCGATAAGCACTAGCAGTTGTTGTTTTGATTTGGAGGCAGAGAGATGAACCTGGATCTCAAGTGAAATAAAAAATCACCATGCTAAAAAAAAAAAATCAAAAAAAAAAATCTCTGTGCTGTTAAATTAACCTAGTTATTTTATGGACAGAGGGAAAATGATGCTATTAAGAAACATGCAGGTTTGCTCGTTCGGTTGGCTGTTTTGTTTCCCAGATGAAATTTGGTCCAATAAGACGCCTGTCGTTTTTTCAAGCAATAAATGAATTGTGTTCATAGTTTTTTATTCCGATTCTTCTAAATAGCTAGGAGGATCGGATCCTTTAGGCCCTCCATGCATTAACTGGGGAGGGAGAGAGAGAAGAGGGGGAGAAAAATGGGACAAATTATAACCTTCTCCTATTTGGGCCTGATAAAAAAGGGTTAAGTGAATGCTGCAAGCCTTGTCAGGATTGTACTATTTTTTCTAGTGCATAAGGAGAAGGGAGAGGAGGATTTGACAGAAAGGGGAAATTTCAAACAAGGGGGGGATCTGAACCAAATTCTCCGAGGTTAATGATGAAGAGGCAGACCAGGAGATGTTACTGCCCAGACATAGGTAGAAATCTCTGTCTGGGAAACTAAGAGCTATGGGTTATATTCTGCTTGACTCCCCTACCTGGTTCTATAATCCTGGCTCAGAGGAGAGAAGCCAGCGGCTGTCTGCAGCGAAAGGAAGGAGGTTAGAGATTCTCTCTTTGAGAGGGAAAATGGTTGGTTGGACTTCTCCGCAATAAGAAACACTATCCTCCCAAGAAATGTCCTGGCCATCTGTGACTGTCTAGTTTGGCTAAGTGAGATGGAAGAAGTTGATGACACAATGTTGTGCCAGGATCTTGAGTGTGAAAGTCTCAGGGAGAATTTCTGGCTGCAAAAGTTGAACTCCCTTGGGGTTTTCTGCAGGCTGCTGGGAAAGTGGAGCTCAGGGAAAGCCGCTGAGCGCCTTCCCCAGCTGTCCCCTACTGCCTCGGTGGAGCTGTTAGTGCACTGGAGCCAACCAGCCAACTGATCGTAGGTTGGATCCCAAGGCAACTCGTGTGTGCAGAATGAACTTGTGCGCCAGCTTGACTTGGACCCTGGCGCTTGGTGGCTGAGCATGGCAGGGAGCATCATCTGCTGTTTGCCTTGCTGAGGAGGAGGAAGATCAAGATCATATTGCAGAGCACCCACCATCGGACTGTGTCTGTGACTCCCCAGTACCAGCTCCCATGTGCGGGGTGGCTTTTGCCCTGTGCCGCAAGCAGTGTGTTCGAGAGATGCGACTCTTTTCCCACATCGCCACGGGTGCTCTCTCCCCCTCTCTCTTGTTGCAGTGCAGGTTAGTGAGGAATCATAAAATAGCTTGCTGAAGAAAGGGGGTTGCCTCTAGAAGCTGGGTCTTTGCAGATGCTGGTTTAAAGCACCCATCAGCTTTCTACCTTACCGCTGTTTTTTCCAGGAGATGCCACACCTCCTGAGGACACTGGGGACATCAGCATTTTGCTGAGCTTAGCATCTTTCCTCCATCGTACAGAGGCTTCAGACAGACGCTCATCTACCCTGAAGTAAAGAGCTGCAACAGCCACCAAGAGGCTTTTCTTCCTCTCTCAATTCAATCCAGCCCCATTTCCAGACCTGGCTTCCACAGTCTGGAGAGCTACCCCTTTTCCCTGCTTTTCCGATGATGACTCACCTTTATTTTTAACTCTGGAGAGAGGAAGTTATGGGGACCTTGGAAGCCTGTATTTCTCTCTAGGATTTCCCCCAAGTCAGATAATCTGTGTTACTAAGAGACACTGAGATTTGCTTCTCCAGGTAATGTGATTTGTTTTCTGTGCGCAATGGTCGTTTGCAGAGAATGAGATGAGAGGAGCCAAAACACAGATCTTGAGCAGGGGAATGCAGTAGTCAGTTTGCCAGCTAGCACAGGTGTCTGCAAATTAACTTAGCCACTAAACCCTTGGCTAGCTCTAAAGCCTGAAGTGGAAATGTATATATGCTGCAGCATTTTGGCTTGCAATTTGATTTCCAGTGCAAAAAAATTGTGAATGTGTTTAACTTTAGATTGGAGGCATTAGTGTGTTCCTTGACGGCAACACTGACTTGCCTCGTATTGCATGGTTAAATGTTAACCTTTACTTGCATGGACAGAATATATTTTGCCTTGCATTTGCTTCCCATTGGCACTAAGAGTTTATTCTTTTGAATAGAAAAGCAGCTTGTTCTAAAGGGTTTATTTTTCCTTTCTTTGCTTGTTAACAAGTTGCAAAAAAAGAAAAAAAGTTCTGTTTTGCCAATGCAAATGTTTTCCTTCATGTTTTGAAGGGATATAGATTTTCTCAAGCGCTTTTTTTTTCTTCTCAGCACTGGATCTTGAGATGGGTTTTCCAACTCTGCACAAAGAGGGTAAACTAAAATCAGAAGGAAATGAGGTGTTTTCTAACAAAGGCGACCTTTAATACACACAACTTTATTTCATCTCTCTCTCTTTCTCAGCAGGGTAATTTTTTTTTTTCTGTTTTGATCATCCCTTCGCCTTTTCATGAACCACTTCCAAACCTACGTACCTGTCCTTCCACAGGATAGTAGCTTTTCCCTGAACCCAAATCTACCACCGGGCAATTGGAAGAGTTTAGATTAAAGATTCCCTGTAAACCTAAATATGACAGTTGCTACTGGAGACCCCACGGATGAAGCGGCAGCTTTGCCCGGTCACCCTCAGGACACGTATAATCCCGAGACCGATCATGAGTGCTGTGAGAGGGTGGTCATTAACATCTCGGGGCTACGGTTTGAAACGCAACTCAAGACGCTCGCTCAGTTTCCAGAGACCTTGCTAGGGGACCCTAAAAAGAGAATGAGATATTTTGACCCTCTCCGGAATGAATATTTCTTCGACCGAAACAGACCCAGCTTTGATGCTATTTTGTACTACTACCAATCCGGTGGCAGGCTAAGAAGGCCTGTTAATGTGCCCTTAGACATCTTCTCTGAAGAGATCCGGTTTTACGAACTTGGGGAAGAAGCTATGGAGATGTTCCGGGAGGACGAAGGCTACATTAAAGAAGAAGAGAGGCCTCTTCCTGAGAATGAGTTTCAGAGACAAGTATGGCTGCTCTTTGAGTATCCTGAAAGTTCAGGACCTGCCAGGATTATCGCTATTGTCTCTGTCATGGTGATTTTAATTTCTATCGTGAGCTTTTGCCTGGAGACACTTCCCATTTTTCGGGATGAGAATGACGACATGCATGGCAGCGGGGTGAGCTATCATCCCTACTCCAACAGCACCATGGGCTACCAGCAATCCACCTCATTCACAGACCCCTTCTTTATAGTAGAGACACTTTGCATCATTTGGTTCTCCTTCGAGTTTTTGGTGAGGTTTTTTGCCTGTCCCAGCAAGGCTGGGTTTTTTACCAACATCATGAACATTATTGACATTGTAGCCATCATTCCCTACTTCATCACCTTGGGGACTGAACTGGCTGAAAAACCAGAGGATGGCCAGCAAGGCCAGCAGGCAATGTCTCTGGCCATCCTTCGAGTTATCCGCTTGGTGAGGGTCTTCAGGATCTTCAAACTGTCCCGGCACTCCAAGGGGCTGCAGATCCTGGGGCAGACCCTCAAGGCCAGTATGAGGGAGCTGGGCCTCTTGATATTTTTCCTCTTCATCGGTGTCATCCTGTTCTCCAGCGCTGTCTACTTTGCAGAGGCTGATGAGAGCGCATCTCAGTTCCCCAGCATCCCAGATGCATTCTGGTGGGCAGTGGTTTCCATGACAACAGTTGGCTATGGAGACATGGTCCCCACGACCATCGGTGGTAAAATAGTGGGCTCCTTGTGTGCCATTGCAGGTGTATTAACGATTGCCTTACCAGTGCCGGTCATAGTGTCCAACTTCAACTACTTCTACCACCGTGAGACCGAGGGAGAGGAGCAAGCACAATACTTGCAAGTAACCAGCTGCCCAAAGATCCCTTCTTCCCCTGACCTAAAGAAAAGCAGAAGTGCCTCCACAATTAGTAAGTCGGATTATATGGAGATTCAGGAAGGTGTAAACAATAGCAATGAAGATTTTAGAGAGGAGAACTTGAAAACAGCCAATTGCACCCTAGCTAACACAAACTATGTTAATATCACCAAAATGTTAACCGATGTCTAGTCCAGAAAACCTATTCACATATTTAAAGCTGAAGTGGAACAATTGCAGATCTTGCATAATACCCTGCATTGTAGTTAATACAGTATGTTCTACAGTGTGTATTTGGTTCTGCATGGGAAGCAATAGTTGTGTAAGTGACTTTCTACCATTTTATTTATACGCCGAATAAGCTTTCATGCAACAATTGTTTTTGTCCATCACAGGCTTATGGGTTTCCAAAGATATGAAGCATCTGAGCATTTAGAGCAAAGTTATATCATTGCAATACCAGGGATATTGAACAAAAAGTTATTCCAGGAACCTCATGTAAACAGCAGCACTAAGAAATGTCAAACAGACATGTAACATTTCGTTGCACTCAACACGTACAAAAATATATCCCACAGAAATAGTATGCGTCTCGCTTCCAAGCTTATGGAATTATATGAAAGGTCGTGCATAATTTAATTAAAGGGCCGTACATCCACGCGTCCAAATTACTTTAAGGTTCAGATTTCTGACTCAGAATTGCCAAGTGAGAGCACATCATGCAGGCTCGGGTTTCATAACTGAAAATGCTGCATGCTGCAATGGTTTCATCCACTGCAGTATATCGGTGTGAGACCCAAGGGAGGGACAATTAATATGACAGAGACCTTATTTATTAAGTCTTAAAATTTCTATTCTAGTCATAGGGAGGGACAAATCAATAAATCAAAAGCCTGGATTTTATTTATTTATTTAGAGGACTCTTCCATTGTCACTGGTTCCAGGGTCACCAAAGACACATCCATTGACACTTTTCAAATGAGTTGAAAAAGCATCTTTTTTTTTAATAAAACTGGAGCAAGTATGCTGTGGCCTATAATATATTTATACTGCAGTGAAAATTAATCAGTAATACAGTACAGCCGCATGGATATTTGTTGCATGAATCTTAATATTTAATACACACAAAAATATATATTTTCTTAGTAGACTATACAGTATTCATGTTTATAGTGTTTATAGATTCTCCAATGGTTGGAAGGAGATGTGTGGGAAAACAAAGGCTGGATCAGAGAAAGGCATGTGCTGACTATAATCTGATGGATAAGCAAGGGAAAGGCGCTGTGTGCTCACAGTATTTACAGCCAGGAGTGCAGAATAGTGCAAACGAAGGAAGGTGACCTGAAAGTGAGACACCTGTGCTCATCCTGTGGGGTCCAACTTGTAATTAATCTTAGCATCATGAGCAAAAGTCTAGAGCTGCCCAGAGACGGTACAAAGGTGAAGGCTTTTCTGACACTATTGTTCAGCACCCATAAGCTTTATTGTATATTCTCATATTGTATATATAGAGAGAGGTGGAGCCAGATCCTCAACTAGTGTGAATCTGTAGCACTTCAGAACAACACCAATTTACACTTTTGGGGGATTTGGCCTTGCGTGTGCAATATACCTGTGATGTGAATTTGGACTTTGGCTAAGTTTATGCAATGTAATACCCATACAAGGAAATGTATGGGTGAGATCTACTGTTGGTGTAAGCTGGCTGAAATGGAGCTAGACTAATTTACCCTAGCAGAGGAGGTGATTTTTGTGTGACTGTGCAGTGCTGGGTTTAAGTGTTAAGTTTTGTCATGGAAAGCTATTGCCCTGTGATTGACCTGTATTACAACGCAGATACCAGACAACCGGCTGCTTTGGGGCATGAAAATTCAACCCCTGCCCTTGCTTACATCTGCTGAACTCAGTTCGATCATACAGGTATCACTGAAGGCAGGTTCAGGCCTCAGGTCCTCTAAGGGCCCTTTGTTGTCAGTCAGTGGGGCAGAAGTTTTTCACGACCCCTGATCTTCAGAATACTTCTACCATTTACAAATGCATCCTTGCCCTAACTGTGCTGCAGCCTCAGCCAGCCTCTTCTGAGCCTTTCTGTGGCCATGTCTACACTGCAATCTGATGTTTGATTGCCGCATAGGTGGGCATACTGGAGCTGGCTTTAATGTAGCTAACACAGGTAGCAATCTCAGTGAACCAGTGCACACAGGGATGTCAATGCTGGCTAGCCACCCAAGTAAGAAGCCAGGGTGCTGGGCTCCTTTGAACTGTTTACACCAGAGCCCAGGTCACTCTGGGTATGATGTCTACAACTGCAATCCAGAAGTGGGATTGTAGCTCATGAGCTAGCTCAGCACTGGTCAGCTCGGGTCTCAATAGCATTTTAGCCATGGCATCCTGAGCTTCAGCATGTCTACATAGGCACCCCTGAGTAAGTATTCAGTGCCTGTGATGTCTATGCTGCTACAACTACACTGTCACTGAAAGTCCTGCTAGCAAGTTTAAAGCTAGTGTCAGTATGTCCACGCTGCAATTACATCTCTGGATTTTAGCACAGATACCCTGTGACTTTACCGCTATTGGTGCCGGAGCTAGCAAGATTAAAACTACACTATGCAAGCCACAATCACATCTTTGATTGTACTGCGGATGTACCTCACTTTGTTTTATTTCCAAGGGAATGCTGCCCACTCAGCCCAAAGCAGAGCTGTTTTGCTTAGGGTCAGATTTTTTTAACCCCAACTAAATAGAAAACTTCCTTTGAACTTGATGCGACTTTTCCCTGAGTGAGGGCCACAGAGCTACATTTGGGTGCAGAGACTTCATTTCCACAGTCAGCTCACAGGCCTGGCTTGGAGTACATATTTTATACTAACCTTCTGCCTCCGAGTGAATGTAGGGCTTGATCTTCAGACTGGCCTAGTGAGTCCTCAAACTGGACCAAATCCTGAAGTCTGTACTCTTTCTTTACTCTCCCACAGCCTCCTCTGCCCCAGGGATTTCAATGGGAATTTCTCCTGAGTAATGACTGCAGGATTTGTACCATTCCCTTTCCAGTCTCAGGCTTATTCAGGAATAGTTGGGGGGCCAACAATTACCCCCCAAGAATGTTTTAAACGGATTATATTTGTTTCCCTTTGCCACATTGATTTCTGTTTTTCAATAGGTGCAAGGTCCAGTAGCAGAGCTGACAGGCTAAACAGCAGCAGGAGAGAAGGGAAATGCTTTTCCACTGGTTAAACTCTTGGAAAGGTCTCTGAGAGAGAGCTGTGCAGTGAGATCTCAAGCAGCTTGTTGGTCATCTGTCTTCTGAGACCAACAACTGTTGACTAGATACAGGAACGATAGTGCCAAATTTGTTTTGGGGCCCAGTCCAGCAAAGTACTGCATAAGTATTTAAAAAGAAGCATGCACTTAAGCAGTATGCTGAATTGGAGGCTTAGGGCTACATCTTATTTCCCATTGATGTACCTAGATGGGACACAGCTGTGTAAGTGCCCCAAACTGCAGGTACATGGCTATGCACCTATATTTAGGTGTATAAAGGGGAATACGATTCAGCCTTTAGACACCCATTGACTTCAGTACAGGATCAGGCTCTTAGGCCTGATACAAAGCCAAGAGTATATTGAGGAAATTCCTGGCATTTGTCATTTTATAGATTGCCATGGCTGATGGGATTTATTCTGACACTTGCAAGTGCAAAAAAAGGGTGCTACCCTGTTGGTCCACCTGCTTTACCTGTGGCAGGTTAGGGTGTTACATCCTGTGGTTGTGTCAGGATTGACGGTGTCATTTTGCGAAGAGGTTAGACAATGGATTTGTATGGGATAGGGATGATCCTGCCTTAGGCAGGGGGCTGGAGTTGATGACCTTCGGAGATCCCTTCCAGCCCTACTTTTTTTTCCCTATGATTTCTGTGATTCCTACCCTGTTCTACAGTAGTGGATCAAAATACTGCCAGGGGCCTGACTCACCTCCTCTGAGCCAAATGGATTTGTTCCTTATTTGTAGCTGCGCAAATGAGGATAGATTGAATCAGCCCCAATAGCAGTGGTACTACAGGGCTTTGTGCATCTATCACATGGGCCCCCAACCCCTGCAAGGTGTAGATGCTGTCAACTGTAATGCATTTCAGTGGCACAGCAGGGTGCTGAGTGCCATGTGGCCCTGGGCACCAGCACTGCATTGGATGCATTTATTTTGCTAAGGGATCCTTCTCCTTCACTGGTGCAGCTATGGGAAAGCATTTTTTCCTCTGTTTTCTTATTTGCACCGAAATATTTTTTTTTAACTTCTAAAATGCAATGAAAGAAAATCAAAAGCAATAAAAACTTTATTCAGGACAATGCTGTAGTATTGTATAGTAATGGTCCCAAACCAGCATTATTTGCACCTCTGCCAGAACTCCCAGTGAAGCCAGCATGAAGAGTATCCACAATAGGGCATAAAAGTGCACTGGAAATTCACCCTAGCTGGCTGTTCGCTAACTCCCTTGTGTAGACAACTCTCAAAGCATCTTTGGCTCTCTTTACCATAGGACATTGGCACCTTTTGACCTCTGATGCATTTATTCTGGTAACGCCCCTGCGAGGTTTTACTGTTTGCATGGGAAAGGGGGGGAGGGATGGGGTAAGAGCCAGGCTGTTATAGGTATACGTATAGGTGCCTAAAGATGCAGATCAGCGTGTAGTGGAATTCTCAAAAGTGCCTGAGTCCTTAACTCACTGATTTCAAAGTAGGTGCCCACTGCATCTTCAGGCACTAAATACCTTTAAAAATCTGGCTCTATGTGACTTTCCCGAGGTCACTGAGGACATCTGTGGTAGAACAAGGCTGTGAACTGAAGAAATCAGCCACAGAAAAACAGTGGGTAACATTTGCAGAAGTGCCTAAATCCCATTGACATTCTGACTCCTAAGTCAGGTAGGTAGTTTTGAAAGTGTTTACCCTGAACATCATGTACAATCCTGCAGGAAGCTGTTAATGGAACAGGGAAATGAGCTCAGGTCTCACACGCATATTAACTTTCTGACAGTTAAACACTTTTTAAAGTCAGAGCATACACATGTACATGGAGCAGAGTTGACTTAAAAGCGACACAAGATAATACACCTCAGAGGTATATTATCTTGAATCGCAGTAGTTAAGTCAACTTAACTCACAAGATGGCTGCCACCAAGTCAAGGGTTTGTATG